TTTGACCTAAAATCAAAAGCAGGATCAGTGATTCTCCAAGGAAAAAAACAACATAGTGTATCTCTGCAGCTGCACTTCTCAACTTGACACGTTGGCCACTGCCGGAGTTGGAGATCGCAGTTCATAGATTTACCCTTGCTGCCCACCATCGCTATGGTTATCTGGCTAGTTCAGTGTTACCGCTGGTAACATTTATCTGTGGTTAGTAGCGATTCACACAAATTGGCTGTAAAGAATGAAGGAGGACGCTGCAGTAACGTGGCATGAACATTGACTTCTTCTCAACATGCGGCCTTTCAGTAACAATAATGCTTGTTAGACACATTACAGCTAACTAAAGTAACTTAACTCGCCCTTATAGCATGCCCTTTTCTGTGATAACAGCAATGTGCTGGCACTAAGAGAGACTCACTCCCCACAACAAACTTGTTATGTCACAGATTAGGGTTCAGGTTGACCACAAGATCACCTAGAAGTGCCCTTCTGCCATCTAGTGACTCGTTTTTGTGTTTAACTGTTTGTCCCCAATTGACTGGTGAAATAAGTTTTTTTCTGTTACATTTAAAATAAATTATTTAAATCTGACCATATGACCTTAGTGTGGTACATTACCCCAAACATATGGTGGTTATATCACTCTTGATAACATGTAGGTTAGGTTTTTACAGAAGAATTAAAAAAATGTAAATCAGAATCAGCTTTATTGCCAGGTATGTGTACACGTACGAGGAATCTGACTCAGGATTGTACATTGCTCACGATGTGCTTACTCGTACAAAAATACTAAATCACAATAATAAAAATAAAATAAAAACAGACACAGACTTCAGTGTAGACAACACAAATATACACAGTATGAACAAAAACAATATAGACATATTGATAAATAGCGCAATGAAGCATAGTGCAAAGGATGCTGGAATAAATAAGTATAAGTATTTTGTGCAGGAGTTATGACTTGAGGTAGTTGGATTTGGTATACAGTATCTACAATATGACAATATAACAGTATGAACAGCACTGAAATAGAGAATGGTGAATAAATAATAAGTGTTAGCCAGTAAACAGGTGGCTGATTAGAGGCTTTACTGGGTTAAAAATCAGCTGTTCATCAGAGTGATGGCTTGTGGGAAGAAACTGTTCCTAAGTCTGTTTGTTTTGGCGTACAGTGCTCTGTAACACTTTCCGGATGGGGAGGAGCTGGAACAGGTTGTGTCCGGGGTGAGATGGATCTGCAGTGATGTTTCCTGCCCGTTTCCTGACTCTGGAAATGTATAAGTCCTGAATGGAGGCGCCAATGATCTTTTCTGCAGTCCTGACTGTCCATTGTAGTCTGCTCCTGTCCTTTTTGGTGGCAGATCCAAACCAGGCAGTGATGGACGTGCAGAGGACAGACTGGATGATGGTTGTGTAAAAGTGGATCAGCAGGTCGAGCTTCCTGAAGTACATCCTTCTTTACATTTTGCTGACACTTTTATCCAAAGCAACTTACAATTGCTATACATGTCAGAGGTCGCACGCCTCTGGAGCAACTAAGGGTTAAGTGTCTTGCTCAGGGACACATTGGTGGACGTCTCACAGTAGGAATTGAACACAGGTCTCCCACACCAAAGGCAAGCACCTTATCTATGCGCCATCACCACTTGGGATCCTGGGATATAGTGGATCCCAGAAACCTGAAGGTTTCCACAGCAGACACAGGGCTGTTGAGTATGGTGATGGGGGCAGAGTGGGGGGGCTCCTCCTGAAGTCCACGATCATCTCCACTGTTTTGAGCGCATTAAGCTCCAGGTTGTTCTGACCGCACCAGAGAGCCAGCTGATCAACCTCCTGTCTGTAGGCCGACTCATCACCGTCCCGGATGAGGCCGATGACTGTTATGTCGTCAGCAAACTTCGGGAGTTTGACAGATGAATGACTGCAGATGTCAGGGCGACAGGTCTGTAGTCATTTAGTCCAGAGATGGAGGGTTTTTGGGGGACCGGGATAACTACAGTAAAATCCATTCAGCTCGTCTGCCAGTTGTTGAGTACCAGCAGTGTTGGAGGATGGTCTCCTGTAGTTAGTGAGTCTCCACACTGACGCAGGGTCGTTGGCTGCAAAGCTGTTATTTAACTTTTCAGCGTAGCATCTCTTTGCTGCTTTGACCTCCTTAGTCAGAGTGTTCCTGTCCTGGTTGTACAGGACTCTGTTCCCACTTCTGAAGGCCTCCCCTTTGGTCTGACGAAGCTGCCTGAGTTTCGCTGTGAACCAGGGTTTTTGGTTGTTGTATGTGCAGAACGTTTTAGTTGGCACACACATGTCCTCACAAAAACTGATGTAAGATGTCACGGTGTCAGTTAATTCGTCCAGGTCAGTGGCTGCAGCCTCAAAAAAACTCCAGTCAGTGCAGTCAAAGCAGGCCTGGAACTCCAGCTTTGACTCGTTGGTCCATATTTTCACAGTCTTTACAACAGGTTTAGCAGATTTCAGTTGTTGCCTGTGTGTCGGGATAAGATGAACCAGACAGTGATCAGATTGTCCCAAGGCTGCACAGGGAACAGAGCGATAGGCGTCCTTTAATGTAGTGTAGCAGTGGTCCAGTGTGTCAGTGTCCCTGGTAGGACACTTAATATGCTGTCTGTATTTTGGGAGTTCATGGCTGAGGTTTGCTCTGTTGAAGTCCTCGAGAACAATGAGCAGGAAGTCTGGATGTTTTTCCTCCACGTTAGTTCAGTGAAACAGAGGGCGGCAGATCTGCAGAAGTCTGAGTTAGTTCTGTTGAGGAGAAGAGAAGAAAATGCCAGTTGTCGTAGCATAAAACCAACGACTTTACAAATGAAGGCTTGATAGTCTAACAGTGCCATAGCCTGGGAGCCAGCAGATGCTGGGGGGAAAAATTTAATTGAATCATGACACCCCTAACATCAGACACTCTTATGACACTATATGTTTGTTGTATAAATTACTTTATAAATATTACCATAATTATTGTTGTGTATGTAAATTAACAGTTTGGCTGTGTCTGCCTGTAAGCTGACCTGTGTGTGTCCTAAGCATACCACAGAGTGACAGGTGCTGACTGATATGAGTGATGAAGCTTCCATTTCTGTCCGAGCTAAAAAATGCAAAACCCTGAGCAGCATGAAATTCCATCTGTGTCCACGAGTGTGTTTCAGTCTGTGTGTGAATGTGTGTGAGGTGAACACATAAAGTTTTTTATTTTGTTCTTAAAGTTGATGTGTTAGAAGCAGGAGCATAAAGCTGATAATAAAACTTTTGCAATGTTGCTGGGGAATGTTGCTGGTAGCAAGTCTGACTATGTTTTGAACGGATAGTGGCGGGGAGGCGGCGTTGGGGAGGCGGCGGTGGGGATTACAGTAATAATCTTTACTCATTACCATTCAAGGAAACATTGCCCAACAACATAGCTCTAAAAGTTGCTCGTGTATCATCAGCATATGGATTTGAGCAACAGCGGCCAAATTGTAATGGCTAGACAGCTGGGTCAGAGCATCTTTTCAAAACTGCAGCACTTGTGGTTGTTCCCAGTCTGCAGTGGTCAGTACTTATCAAAAGTGGTCATGCCAAGGCTCATTGTGTGATACTCACCAACTTCTAAGTTTATATCAGACTCACAACAATGAAATACAACATGAATGAACAGAAGAAAAATCTAAATCAAGTCAGTATTTGGTGTGACCTCCCTTTGCCAGCATCAGTTCTTCTAGGTAGAAATGGACATAGTTTTTGAAGGAACTCGGCAGGTAGTTTGGCCCAAACATCTTGGAGACTGAGATCTGAGGAGGCCATGCCATCACTTCCAGGGCTCCTTGTTTTACACTGAAGATAGTTCTGAATGACTTTCGCTGTATGTTTGGGGTCGTTGTCATGCTGCAGAACAAATTTAGGGCCAATCAGATGCCTCCCTGATGGTATTGCATGATGAATAAGTATCTCTCTGAGCATTTCAGCATCGAGGAAACCATTAATTCTGACCAAATCCCCAACTCCCTATGCAGAAATGGAGCCCCAAACTTCACCATGCCTCACTGTTGCCTGCAGACACTCATTCTTGTACCGCTCTCCAGCAAACAACCTGCGTGCAGTTGCATCCAAATATTAAAAATTCTGTCATTTTTCTGCACCCCAGTTCCTGTGTTTCTGTGCGTAGTTGATCTGTGATTTCCAAGTCAGAGGTATGGCCTGCGTCTACGGTCCTCAAAGTTGCCCATTTCTTTGTGCTTCTTCAAAAGAACTTGGACATCTGGAAAAGTCAGTCTTGCCATGGTGTATGACACACCTTGTTAGCTGAGTTTGGCTGTTCCTCACCCTGTTGTATTCTTACTACACAGCCGTTTCAGTTAGTGATTGTGTTTCACCCTATATACTGAATTTATGATCATTAGCACATCTGTTATAATTGTTTAATCACACACCTGATGATTTGCCGACAAAATCCCTGACTTGAATGTAGAGTACCTGTATCAAGTGTACCTTGAATAATAGATGCTCTTTTGAAGGCAAAGTGTGTTCCCACCAAATATTGATTTTAGATTTTCTGTTAACTCACATTGTATTAATTGATAAATTTAATCCATTAACATGTCACTTTGTTAAGGCGTGCTGAACGATCATTGCTCTAAAATTAAACATGTTTATCATTGTTACAGTCAAATTTAAGAATCCAGGACTGGTGGTTTTATGATTTATGTTACACAGACTTTTCTAGATGAAATTACATTTTATGTTTAGGGCTGACTATATTAAACTAAAATCAGTCAAATTTCATTTTCTTTTATGCTTGCAAAATTCAAAGTCAAATGACGCCAAGCATCAACCTGGAATTTACCAAAATAAATCTGTTTTAAAATGTGAATGATGTTCTGATAAGCAAATCAAATAATGTAATTTTAGGTTTCCTGACTGGTAATCAGTCCTAGCCTCTTGTTTCTGCATTTAGATTGAAGATGGAGATGTATCGTCTCAGGTGAGACAGGATTAAAAAAAAGCAAATCAAGTAAAATATTCACTCATTTAATCAACGATTTGTCTTGTGCCAGATTCCAGTCACACCTGTAGAGTGTAGAAATTTCCCGTTGTGGAAAAGAGTGAACACACAACAGCGGCTTTACATAACCAGTGTAACGTTGTTCTACAACAAAAACATTTATTCTCCAGTGACGCAGATCATCAAATGGCGTTGACATTTACAAAGCATTCAGGTACAAATACACTATCATGAGTGACAATGACTTGTCAGAGCTCATTTCTAGCCAGTAAAAAAACAAAAAAACAACAAGTATTTGTGTGGGAATCAGCCTTCAGTCCAAGAATCCCATCACTTTTACACCAATTCATTATTTTAAACAAATGCCAGAGCACATGAAGTCTTTAAAGGTCTACAACATGTGTAGGTGTATCTGAATCTTGACTGAACAGATCCATTATTATGGAAAACATAAGTTTTCCATAATCTTTTTTTTCAAACCTTAAAATCATCATATTGCTCTTCCATTCTTTGCAGACATAACTGTATGAAGGCAACAGGAACTTAGAGGTAAGACAGGACCAGAACACACTGGGATACATTTGAAGGAATGAAGCCTGAGTGTAGAACTCTGAATATAGTAGTATGTTTTCCATCATAACTATTTTGTGTATAGACAATAAGTCTACACAAAATATTGTTATAAATACAAAAATAAAATTCAGTGCCAACTATTGACATTTTATTTCTCACATAATCAATAATAAGCCAAATGTCCGTTGTGTATATACGAGTCTCTCACATATATTTGGCCAGAAGAACTAAGTCCACTGTGATGCACAACAAGTGGATTTAATTAGATTTACTCTCATACTGTGCTTAGAATGCACACAATTCTGCCATCAAGTGGAGTTTTACCAAAAACATAAAAAGGTAAAACAATTCATCACGCTTTCCATAAATATCCTGTCGGTCAACTTAGCTGTCAAATGACGACACCAAACCGAAATGAGAAAAGCAAAACCAGCGTGACTGGCTTGCATTACGTTGTGCCGTTGAGTGCCTCTTGGGTCTTGAGCGGTTCAAGGTTCACTTCACAACGAATGGCAGCCCGTTACTTCTCCGGTGTTTCAGTCCATGTGTGTGGCATTTGACAGCTGTGTCTAAAAAACAGTCACATTTACTTAAAATATGACAAATATCAATACCATTTTCATCACCTGAAGATTTATCAAATGCATGTAGCTGTAGGAAAACAAATATATTTAAAAATAAAGGAGACTGCAGTATGTGGTTAGTCACAGCACATCACGTGGCTCCATCACGACCAATGATGGTTTATCCTAATAATTGATATTGATTGATAAATGTATATACACATGATTGATGACAGTCTACAAACAGATGATATATTCTTCTAACAAAACCAAACATCGACTCACCAGCAGGAACTCTCTGGTGAGTGTACATGTGCAGAGGGTGTGCGGGGGCATCACTGAGGTGGAGGAGGAGGTGGAGGAGGAGGTGGTGGGGGAGGAGGGAGGTCAGAGAAGGGGATAGAGTTTGGTGGCCAGAAAGGAGAAGAGAAAGACGGGTTAAAGAAAGAAGGTGGAGGAGGCGGGTAGAGCGGAAAGTTGGGTGGGGGAAAAGGTTGAAGTGCTGGAGGGTAAGGGCACGGAGGGGGGAGGTACATGGGAGGGACATAGGTGTGTCTAGGTGGTGGGGGTGCGTGTCTGGGTGGAGTGTGTGTGTGTCTGAACATTGGGGGTTTATTCCTCGGGCTCTGGTGCCTGAATGGAGCCCCTGCTTGTCTTGGTGGGAAATTCCTGACGTCACGCTCCTGCTGCGGCGGCAAGGTGTTCTGGGTAATGTGGGCGGGATTATCTGGAGGGGAAAAACAGATGAAGGAAAGTAGGAATAAAAAGGTAAGACATGTCTGTCATATTCTACTAGAACGTTCATGACATCCAAATTTAGACTTCTGTCAGATGGTAACGACTTCAACAAACATCCAAACACGTCAAGGATTCTTTTCATTCAGAATATATTTCCTGTTCGCGTGTGCACATACCTGTGCCGTTATTGTCCCTCTTCTTTTTGGAGTTTTTCACTTTCCTCTTAGCTTGCTGCTCTTTCTCGTCATCACTATAATCTAAAGCCTGGGATTGGACAGAGAGAATGAGTGCGGCTCCCTCATAACAATAAAGAAATCACACCAGTCTTTTTGAGCACAGTGGAAACTGTTGGAAAAGTTTACAAAATGAGTTGAGTGCTAAATATTTTCAGCTACAACCATCACTTACTTCACATTTACTTGTTTTTATCTTTAGCTGAGATATAAAACACGCAGAAAGCAGTTTGTATAAACACGAACCATAACATGAACTACTGAAAGGGTTACCAGGAGGCACCAACTTTAAACACCACTGTATAATGAAATAAACATTTCTGTGTATGTGCTCACCTCCACTGGTGGTTCTTGGTCGTTCTTCCAGGATGCATCAGATCCCTTTAAACTGAAGGACAAGGACAATTATCACTGTACTGTTCTCATTATATAGCAACACAATTTAACAGCAAGCCAATATATGCACAAGAGACAGGAATCATCTTAGCTTCATAAGATGATGTTGTACATGCATTCATCAATCAAAAGTAAAAATCTATTTTAGCTTCCATCTTCTAACACCGGGAAAGCACACATCTCTTCAATTACAGCATCTTACGAGCTTTGCAGGAAGCATCCTTCTCACAAATTCTCACCAAATTCATTAATTTTTTTAAGGTTACATCACGCAGAAACTTGCTGAACAGACGATGCTTTCACAAGCTTAGAGGAAAGGATGGCAGCAGATAAGCTCCTTGGTCTGCTTGAGCACAAATGGCTGCTTCTGGGTCGTATGACAACTCCAGTCACTGTACAGACAGGTTGTTCAAACAAAACCACCACTATGCTAAAAGAACTCAAACGTCTTGGGCACGGCATTCACTGTGACATACTAGTTAGGTTTGGTGAATATGACTACTGCTTAACAAATAAAATAAATAATAGTGACAGAGCAGTGACAGACCAATTAATCGGCCGTAGACTTGCAATTGCAACATCTGGTGAAACAATCGCCCGATAAACACAAACATTCACCTGCAGGCAGCCGTGCCAGTGTGGCTGCTGTGGAAGGATGTTATCGGTCTATTTGATCTATCATTTCACCAGTACGCTGACGCAGCTGATTAAGTGGACAATGTTTGAGATCAACAGATTTTCTCTGCCTAATGAGTCATGCCATAAATCTGACAGGCAACCAGTTAACGGATATATTCCCATCATACTGAGATGACCCAGAGGAAGGTTGTTATTAAAGTAACCAACAGTTTAATGTTTGCTAATGACTCCTAATTTTAACCTACTTTAGTTACTTGGTGTTTGGTAATGAAGAGCCTACTCTGCGTCATCTGAGCTACAACCAACACGAGTGGTGGACGGGTTGACAACCTGCTGTTTAATGGTGTTGCAGCACAACGTTGTTAATGAAAATAAGACTTCCATGCCGTTGTAACGTTGTACAACTTCTCTGAAATGCTTTATTGTTTTTTCTAGCACAACCGATGAAAACGTAAACAGGCTGAAAGTAACGTGCTAACGTTGACTGTGAGAGCCGCTCCTCAGGTCAAATAGTTAGCTAGGACATTACGTAAATTAGTAAATGGTTTAGTCTTGGCCACCAAATCAGGAAATGTGAACAATTGTAGCAATTTATGCTAAAAAATATAAAAAGCTGGTGAGCTACACATTTCTCACCTTGACCTTCTTTGGTCTGGATCAGTTTTCTGTCCTGATCTCAACCCGTCTGGGCAAATTACTGAGTAGGCACCAATCAGACGCAGCATTTGAATGAAGTCATCACTTAAAAACTTCTCACAAATTATTTTACCGTATTTTTAAAACTACAAAATACAAAAACACTTTAGTATTTATACAAAATATGAAGCCATTTTCATCAACCCCATCAAAAATAACAAAATCCTATGTTGTATTTGAAATACGTGTAGCACAAATACTGCCACTGCCTGGCTACCACTAACCAATCAGTATATTTGTCTAACTTTACTGTGCTCTATATAAACTTGTGTGTATGTACTTACAGTTTGAGTTGTTGCGTGAGAATGTATCCTGTGTACTCTTTAATGGCTGGTGCATAATAAACTGTCACTCCCTCTGTCAGCCCCTTGCTGCTTATCTGGTCCACAGAGTTAAAACGCAAAATATAGAGCGGACTGGACACTGGACCAAACACCTCAAACACCTGAAACACAACCAACAGATCATTCATTATCACGTGGAAAGAAGCACGACTCAAAACAGATCACATAAAACACTTTTCACGCACTAAACAAGAGTAGACAGAGGAGGCCCACCTTGCCCAGAGCCAGCCTATCAGATCTAAAGATGATGCTGTCATCATTCAGAGGGGGCGTGTCTTTCAGAGACTGGATGATGACTGCAGACAGACAGAGAGAGTGGTTAAAGACATAGCCGACAAAACACACATTAAAAGCCTCCACTTATTGTATTCTCTAACTGAGAAGAGCTGCCTTTTCCAGTTCTTTAGAAGTCACATAGTAAAAGTTTGAGTTTAACTCGAGTGTGTGTATATTTACCAAGTTGCTGTATAATACTGGAGACTGTTCCTACAGGCTGCAGTTCTGCATCTTCTGGTAAGGACACACACACCTCCTCCACCGCTGGCAGCTCCTACACACAAACATCATGACAGGTTACATTTGGTCGTAGGGTTTACAACAGACGACAGAAAAAGTGCGCGAAAAGATGTCCAGTAAGATGCCCCAGCATCCTGCGGCAGTGCGTGGCAATTGTTCAGACCATAACCACGAAGACTGAACATGCGTCTGCTTTTAGCTGAAGGCGTTCCCAGTGTTTCCCAGAAAGCAAGTCACTGGGACTCCCAACAAACAATGATGCAATGACCCAAGCAAGAGCAGGCGTCGTCTTTATGGAGACAATTCTTATACAAAATGAGTCCTTTTTAAATTACCTGCATGAGCTGGTTTGGGTTTACTTTTACCTACTATATAGCTTCATCCATTATAAATCCTCAATACCTTCTTCATATATACTGAGTGTGTCCAGAGTGCGACCCCCAAGGTTCAAGGTAAATGTATTTGTCATTTAATACAGTGGGGAGAACAAGTATTTGCAGGTTTTCCTACTTACAAAGCATGTAGAGGTCTGTCATTTTTATCATAGGTACACTTACACAGACGGAATCTAAAGCAAAAATTCAATCCATAGTTTTCAGTCACGTGACATGCGCGTTGACCTGGAAGGCAAAACAACAGACCAAGATAGCGGCTCACACAGCGACTCCCTTGTAGAGACGCCGCAAAAGCAGTTAGATTTTATTTGGATCACCTCTCAACTCAAGAAAAAGATACAGGTGTTGGGCACTTGCGATCCAAATACAGCACCCGCTGCCGTATTTCCGCCGTTAAAGCCCGCCAGGTCCCTGCCAGCGCTCGACTGTGGTAATGTTTACGTTTACCTTGTAGGGAATCCCTCACCTAACACAACTCAGGCTTGTCTCCTCGTCAATTAGTTTATCCATCCAGCATTTTGGCAACGCAAAAGTAACAAACTCAAATTAACAGTCTATCACTTGCGTCTTTTTCCCCTCCATGTGGCTTTTCACGCACACACTCGCAGACTGACCTCGAGCAGAATTTCATCTCTGGTTTTGATGGGCGCTGGTTGGCTGAAACCCTCGTCGTCGTCATCATCCCCGAACACGAGGGCAGAGGGAGAAGAGGAGGATGAGGAAGAAGAGGAAGAGGAGGAGGAAGAGGAAGAACTGTCACTGAGGACAGGAGAGGAAGAGCATCAGAGTCAGTCACTTGTTCCCATCATTACAGTGCTTCCTGCTTTTAGAGCTTTTATTGGTGTAAGACATCAGTAACCAGCCTGTTTGGGCACCATTAACATGCTATTTGTCAAATCGCTGTGTGTTGCGTGTAGAAAATACCTGTCTGAATCCTCTGAATCGTCGTCGTCACAGTCCTCTTTCTTACACACAACGTCTAAAGGAAGCGCTGCGGCTGCTGTAAGAACATCTCCTGTTCCCTCTGCCTGCGTTGGTGTATTTGATGCTGCGTCTGCCTCGTCAGAGGTGACGATGAGATTTTCTAGTTGTGTTGACACGGTGACCTCCATCTCCTCCTCTTTGGGCACTTGTAACGTCTGTCCATCCTCCTCTGATAGTTTGTCGTCCATCTGAAATGTGCACATGTTTTAAATCATGAAGGCAGGCTGTCAGATAACACATGACACCAAAACATTTGATTGGTTCACGCTGCTTGATGTGGCCCCTAATCCACTGCGCTGTTGTAGCAAGAAATAACAAGACATCATGCACTACTGTGGTTTAATTAATGCTATATTAAAATGTACAGAACCTTATGTTAAATATCGTTAACCAAAGATAACAAACAACTAAATCATGGAAATATCTACAAGTTAAAGGGAGGCGATCTTTACTGATCCATTTAATGAATTAATGCACCGTCAAACCCTAAAAATACGTGAACGTTTCCTCACTTACTGTCAATAAAGTGTGAAATAACTTACTTTACTGAATGTGACATGAAAAGTAACGTTAGCTTGTTTTCTCTGATTCCTTGCAAAACTAACGTATGTCAGAAAAAAAGCAGACAGGTAAGTAAAATAACAGCACGGGACAAAGTAAAATAAAAGAAATGATAAATTGTGCTAACTAAGTTAGCTAACGAGCTAACCAGAGCTGACAGCGGGCACGAGGCAAGTTCAACAGCCGCGAGCCCAGAAACCCGAACACCCGGTTCCGTAAACACACCTGGGCCCGGTAAAGATTACTTTCATAAAATGAATACCTGTTTGTGATGCTGCTGGACCCGCACTGCGATCTAGGCTTAGCTCCTGAAACTCCGGACCCGGTGTGAGCTGAACCGACTTGAACCAAACTACTTCCGCTGTCAACCTTCAAAATAAGAGGTAATATATAAGTAAGAGATGTATAATGTGTAAGATTCCGGCAGTGTAGACGCTCATGAGCGTATTTTAATAAATGGTTTGTTTCTGTGTCTATATATAAATGCTTTGTTCAGCTTGTTGTCCGGTGAGAACAATGTAAAACTACTGTCAAATTTCCTTTATGTGCACTCACACACATTTATTTTTTAACATGCCAAGGGACATTTGTGTAAAATGTTTTATTTTGTCCTAATTTCCACTATCCTACATTAATAAATGCATTAGTCATTTGACCAAAGGACAAAATATGCTTATGTGATGTCATGTCAGACTGTAAATGACTAAGTTAGTAAAAAATAAACTATATAATTAATTTCTGTTAAACCATTGCATTAAGTGCTTTGTTTTGGTCTAAAGTAGCTAACTTGAGATGTTTTTATGGTCGTATGCGTAACAGTTTTACCTTTGTGAACTTTTCTTACCATCCCAAAGCATGCGTGCATTTTATTTGGAAGGCACAACTCTTGTATTCCGGTGACAATCGTTTCTCTGCGCTTGACGCAGCTAAAACTTCCCATGAGGTCAGCTACACCAACACGTGGGGTTGTGTTTTTCCGGATGTGCGCAAGGCTGTTGCGCAGGTTAAAGCACCTGCAGAGGAGAGGAGGAGCAGGAAACGTTTGTAAAAAATCATCATACCTGTGGTTTTTTTTCATTTACACTTGGTACACTCCACATATGTGTCTCTGTTGGTCAGATCACAAATCTGAACACAAATCCATCTTGCGTTTCTCTCAGCTACCTGTAAATCAGGATCTGACCTTTTCCAGTCCAGAAGGAGGTGGTAATGCACCTGAAGCAGTTTGATAACCCTAACAGTGTAATAGAGTTACATGCAACCTAAAAGTTATATTTGCATGATAAGCAACATAAAATTACTGGAATTATTCTCCCCCTCCTTAGTGTGAATTTTATTCTAATGCGCAGCCCCCCTCCTCACTCCGCCAAGCTCCATATGTTCAGCTCGGCTTCAGAAGTTTTGCAAACACAAAGTCTGAGAAACAACCAGCAGCAATGAAAGAACTAGCCATCCCTCCTTTGCCAACAACAGCACGTGTGTCCTGGCTCCACACAGAGCTTCGGGCTCAGCATGTTCGATTCCATGGCGCCTGTATCAACGAGTGGAGGCATGATGATGAACAGAGGGGAATAACTTTTGAGGTGGGGCAGTGGTGTAGTAGCCTCTCATCCTGCCGTTAGACGCCCTGAGCCGCGAAGCATCAAATGGAAACAGGTAGGTTTATTATTACTGATGATTACTGGATTAATGTAATTCATCGGGAATCCCAGGTCTTGTTGGGTTTGGCGTTGTTTTGTGAAATATTATTTCTATCTTATACTGCAGCACTTTTGCATGCATTGGAAATTATTATAATGGACACATTCAAACATTTCAAATGTAAATAGTGTATCAGCTTATACTGTAAGTACTGTATGTGACCAATAGGTGGCAGCACACTTCCGTTTAATTAATCTAGGCTAAAATATCAAGGAATCTGGGTCAATGTGGAGGGAGAAAGGTTTGAATCTTTTCATAAAATATTGTGATATTTGTAATGACATTAACAATTTTGGTGTTTGGTAATTCTGTGATAAAATGATTGCATTTTAGTGATTACATTTTACATCATTTTCCCAGGACGCATGATTAGTCTTCCTCAGTCATCACACATTGCCAATAGTGATACCCTTTTCCATACAAACTGTAAAAATCATAAATCATTCTACAAGTCAGGGGTGATCTGTTGAAGAACTGAAGGCAGGAGTGGAGGGGAAACCAACACTGTACAGGGATTTGGGGATTGGAGTGTGCATGTGTGTTATGTGTGATTGAGTTTTTTGCCTTTTGTTTTTGTATGGTTTTTACTTTAGAACAGCCAAGGTGCGGTTGACTGCTGTTAGAATATCCTTTCATAAGCTTTCTTTGGCTGAATGTTTGTACAAGAATCTGTTGTAAAGTCAGAAAGGGAATTTATTTCTAATTACACAATATTCTGTAACAGCTTATTTTATGTCATTGATGTCTAGTGTCAAAAATGCACTGTGCAAGTGAGTTTCCTAATTACTGACAATCTTTTGGAACACAGGTTTTCCAGTTTTTAACTTGCAGCAGGGTCAAATAAACACTACATAAAATCAGCTGATGCTGGCTTCTGAATGGCCATATTGTGTTAATCACCAGCTCAGTGCCACTGTTTTTATTTAAAGCCAGTTCACACATCAAACCACACTTCTCAAGCACCTCAAAGAAGCGCTGCTTTGTGCCAATTAGTGTTGCTTTTGAAGACAAAATGACATACGTCAGCACTAAGAATAACCGAACGGGAACCCCAGTAGGATTCATATTTGAATGCACCAAAGGAGCTGAGAAATGTGCTATTGTTGTTGGTGTGTATGACTCACCTCACCAGAATGCTTTACTAGAATTATACTGGTGAGTGCATTCAAGTGGATGGGAAGTGAAACACCAATACGTCTCATTGAGATACTGCCTCTGTGTCCTATGATATTTCCTGTGATAACATTGTATGAGCCACTGATTCCCATTGTTTCAATAAAATAGAGAGCTGACATAATAACTGAGAAATTCCTAATGTGCACACACGTGAAAACCTTGAAAACCTTTGTTTTGCTGCTTAGAAAACAATTTAGCTCACCTATCCTGGTGACTCAAGAGGCTAAAGAACATATTCCACATTTTAACTAGTCGTGTTTTTGTGTTTATAACATTGTTGTGTCACTGATGGTCCACTGTATGACAATATTTCAATTCATCTCAACTGTTCATCACCTCTGGGTTTGCCAGCTGTCCACATTGAAAAACAAAGCAAAGATGTACAAAAATAAATTATTCGCCATAGAAAGAGAAGCACAAAAGGGGACAGACCTAGCGAAGACTGGAGAGCAGGACCGGGGTTTAATTGCAGTGGGGCTTGATTGCTGGGATGAGTCCCAGGTGTGTAGGAGATTGGATAGATAAAAGTTAGGAAGAGAGGAAGCCCCTGTGTGCGTTCCATGATTAGACCTATGTTGCAAAAATACTGTATGGGTCTGTGTATGCACCAGTACAACTGTAGTAAGGAGATGGCATTAAAGTATGATATGAATGAAATGTATAAAGTCATGTCCGTGGTAACCATAGACTTCTTGCATTTTGTTTTGCACATTTTAAGTCTATTTCTGAAGCAAATCTGCGTAGACAGCTGTTTAATTCACACAAATATCCTGCTGTATTTTATTTGACCAGAACAATGTATTACTTATTCATCAAACGGGCAAAAAGTTCTTCGCAGACCCTATTATGCGGAAGAAAGTCACATAATAAGGACTGTTCTTTTGTGTTGTGGCTTTTTGTATTCGTGTTGTGGCTTTTTGTATTCGTGTTGGGGCTTTTTGTATTCGTGTTGTGGCTTTTGTATTCGTGTTGTGGCTTTTGTATTCGTGTTGTGGCTTTTTGTATTCGTGCTGTGGCTTTTTGTATTCGTGTTGTGGCTTTTGTATTCGTGTTGGGGCTTTTTGTATTCGTGCTGTGGCTTTTTGTATTCGTGTTGGGGCTTTTTGTATTCGTGTTGGGGCTTTTTGTATTCGTGTTGTGGCTTTTTGTATTCGTGTTGTGGCTTTTTGTATTCGTGTTGTGGCTTTTTGTATTCGTGTTGTGGCTTTTTGTATTCGTGCTGTGGCTTTTTGTATTCGTGCTGTGGCTTTTTGTATTCGTGTTGGGGCTTTTTGTATTCGTGTTGTGGCTTTTTGTATTCGTGTTGGGGCTTTTTGTATTCGTGTTGTGGCTTTTTGTATTCGTGCTGTGGCTTTTTGTATTCGTGCTGTGGCTTTTTGTATTCGTGTTGTGGCTTTTTGTATTCGTGTTGTGGCTTTTTGTATTCGTGCTGTGGCTTTTTGTATTCGTGTTGTGGCTTTTTGTATTCGTGTTGTGGCTTTTTGTATTCGTGTTGTGGCTTTTTGTATTCGTGCTGTGGCTTTTTGTATTCGTGTTGTGGCTTTTTGTATTCGTGTTGTGGCTTTTTGTATTCGTGTTGTGGCTTTTTGTATTCGTGCTGTGGCTTTTTGTATTCGTGTTGTGGCTTTTTGTATTCGTGCTGTGGCTTTTTGTATTCGTGTTGTGGCTTTTTGTATTCGTGTCGTGGCTTTTTGTATTCGTGTTGTGGCTTTTTGTATTCGTGTCATGGCTTTTTGTATTCGTGTCGTGGCTTTTTGTATTCGTGTTGTGGCTTTGTATTGTAGGGTTATTTTTGTTCAGCATTAACAGGGAGGTTTTCTTTTGGTTAATTTTATACCCTGAGAATTTACCAAACATCTTCAGAATTTGGTCAACAGCCTGGACAGACCTCCCTAGATCAGTTAAAAACAAAGCAACGTCATCTGCAAGAAGAGACAAGTGATGTTCTGTTCTTCTGATTTGAATACCTGTAATATCAGGAGAATTACATATTGCCATAGCAGGTGGCTTGACAGCAAACAAGAAGGGGCGATAATGGGTATCCTTGTCTGGTCGATCTATATAGGCTAAAAGATCTCAATAACTGGCTGTTTGTTACAACTTTGGCTATGGGCTCTGTATATGGTAATTGAATCCATTTCAAATATTTTTCTCCCAAGCCAAATCTTTTGAGTGTCCCCAAAAGATAACACCATTCTGTCAAACGCCTTTTTGGCATCTAATGACAAAAAGGCTTGATACATGGCAAATTGTTTTTCATATAATGTATTCAATAATCGGCGGGTATTGTGAAAAGCTTGGCGGCCGAGAACAAATCCATTTTGGTCGTTCAAAATTAAGTTAGGAATATGTGATTCAATCCTCCGAGCTAGAACCTTGCATAGTATTTTGGTGTCACATGACATCAAGGATATAGGCCTGTATGAGCCCATATCTGTCGGAGCTTTACCTGGTTTTAACAGAAGTGAAATGCTGCCAATCTTAAGGATGGGGGTAGAATGCCCTTCTAGGACTCATTATACATTTCAAGTAGATGAGGTAATTTATCTGAATCTCTTATAAAGCTCAATAGGCAGGCCATCAGGGCCAGGGGCTTTGCCTGTATTCATATGGGTGAGTGCCTCCTTAAGTTCTTGAATGCTCAGTTTTCCATCTAGATAATTTTTAGTTTCCTCTGACACAGTTGGGAATTGAAGTTGGTCCAGAAACTGATCCTGTTTATCCATATTATCTGGATATTGGGATTTATATAAATTTTCATAATATTCTGCAAAAGCATCATTTATACATTTTGGATACACTAAATTCTCTGTATTGTCAAGTACAAGTAGAATTAATATCCCTACTAGTCCTGTGGTTTTTTTGTTTGTTTTTTTAAGCCTCCAAGCCGGGAGTTTTCCTGCCATCTCACCCTGATCATAGTATGACTGTTTCACCCACAGTAAACTAACGATGGTGCATTTCGACCACGCCATCATTGAGTCCATCCTCACCACCTCCATCACATCTAGTACGCTGCTGCTACTGCCAGGGACAAGAGCCAGCAGCGGCGTATCATTAGCTCTGCTGAGAAGGTGATTGACTGCAGTCTTCCATCACTTCAGGACCTGTACGCCTCCAGGACTCTGAGGCCAGCAGGAAAGATCGCGGCCGACCCCCTCCTTCCCGGATACAGATTGTTTCAGACACTCTCCTCTGGCAAGAGGCTGCGGTCCATCAGGACCAAAACCTCTGGCCACAAAATCAGATTGTTCCAGTGTGCACCTAGCCTCATCAACACGCCCCCCCCCTGACTCTGGCTTTCATGTCATTTTTAGATATCTTTATATTTATATAGGTTTATATTGTGTTTGAGCATGTATGTGTAACAGAAATTTGGCAATTAATCTGATTATACTACAAAGAGTACAGTCTAGACCTGATTTATATGAAAAGTGCAATGAGATAACTTGTTATGAAATGGATCTATATAAATTAATACAATGCAATTAACTCATATTTTTTCTGATAAATGACAATCTAAGGAATAGCATTGAGACCCAGATCCAAAACCACAGAAATCATGTCAAATAAATAGTCACTCTAAAAATTTACAAAACTTTACCATGTTTAAGATTCACTGTAATGTGTTAAAGTCCTTCAAATGTGACAAATGGAAAAAGTTTTAAATGCATGTCAGATTTTCAGAGACACCAGATGAGAAGCCATATTCTTACAAAACATACAGTTTCAGTTCAGTAAAAAAGATGTATAACCTCACAGTTCTGCAGCAGGTGAGTCTATGTATTTATATAAGTACACTACCGTTCAAAAGTTTGGGGTCTCAGAAACTTCCTTGTTTTCAAAAGAAAAACAGTTTTTGTCCATTAGGAGCATTTAACACTTAATTTCCTGCGTTCTGGAGACATTTTCTGCTCCAATTTATGGTGCATATTTTTTTTATATAAAGGGAAACAAAATTTAGCTGGAAAACTCATAATAACAAAATATAACTGAATATAATGTTGTAAACAGCAACACCTGGGTTTTTTAGTTACTTTTTTTGGACAATACATATTTTTGTTTCAAAATATATTTAAATTGCAGTCAATTTTTTATTGTGCAAATAATCATTTTTAGTGCAAGAATTTTTTTAGGACATTTTTAACAATTGCTTTTAAAAAGTGGTGGGGACAAAAGCAGGCATTCAAAAAAATTGGTGTGGACATGTCCCCAGCATCCCCACTGTAAATGACACGTATGGCTTTTGTACTTTACTTTAGTATTTTCTTCTATGCCACGTTCTACTTCTACTCCACCACATCTCAGAGAGAAAGATTGTAGATTTTACTTCACTACATTTATCTGATAGCTTCAGTTAATAGTTACTTAACAAAATTAAGACTTTTACACACAAACATATGGAGAGTTTAAAAAATACGATTTGTTATAAATTAAACTCCCCAACAATTTTTACAAGTAGGAAATTTAAAAGTTTTAATTTTGTTTGTCATGTCAGCAACCACTGAAAAGAATAACTACTTTTACTTTTAATAGCCTACTTACATGGCCGTTTTAAAAGCAGGTACTTTCTGAACTTCGACTCAAGTAAAAATTTTAATTGAAGCTTCTATTTTTAGTGTGATAATATTTTGCAGGGTACTCAAGTGCGGGATTTGTGTACTTCGTCCATCGCTGCTGATAATAAACACAAGTTTTGAATTTCAGGTTATCATTTGAAAGCGGAACGAAAAGCTCCCGCACTTCTGCTGTCGGAACTTAATAGTGTGACGTCGGCGTTGGTCGCAACTTTTGAGTTCACTGGAAGTTACTGTAGCGCCGCTAATTATTTAATTTGTAGTTCAGCAACAATGAGTTCAGTTGAGAGTTTGAGAGAGTTTGTCAGCGAGCGACTAACTGCTGCTGCTGAAGAAATATTCAGAGTTTTTAAAAACACTATCGTCGAGTACGAGAAAGAGATCGATCGTCAGCGCAGACTGCTGGATATCGTTTGGAAACCCGAAATAAAGTTACACAGGATAGGTGAGGAAACATTCATTATATTAGTTACACAGGATAGGTGAGGAAACATTCATTATTAGTTACACAGGATAGGTGAGGAAACATTCATTATATAGTTACACAAAACAGAGGAGTAGTATATTAAACACAGGGCCGGTGTGACAGTTTGAGTGGTGGCTTGATTCATGGGCGTAAATCTTATCTCACAGTAGGGGGGGGGGGACAATAAAAAATTTATATTTTCACAAGAGCAATTTTTGGGGGGGACCCGAAAAATACCACCAGAATTGTACTTGTAGGCCTATAGGATACGTGTACACAGAGAGAAGTCTCACTACTATTTTTCTGGCCAACAACACAAAGCAATAGTTGTTTAAATATGACTTAAGTTCATAGGTTAACCACGTGGCCATATGATCCTAAATAACTTGCGTCCTCTAGGATACATTCTAATTTAGGGTTCTTCTGGGATAGAGGATGTATATACCGTAAAACTTCAATTAATAGCCGAGTCCCAAACAGCCGCCTGCCTCCTTTACTGGCCTGGTGTGGGGACATATTTTAACAAATAAACGCCTGCTTTAATTAAACTGGTTTTTATAGAAGTTCTTTGGATGTATAAAACCTCTTAAACCCTGCGGGGTCGCCGCTTTAGCTGCTTTTAAGCTGCGTAGATCGTTAATATAAATAGGCTATTAATGTTTAAAGGTATGATCAATATGTCAATATGGACATGCTGCACATCGTTCTGCACATCCTGCTGACTCACGTTAACTTTGACGGCTCGTTAAGCCAGAATGTGTCCGTTCCTTGATTATTTATCTTACTTTAGTCTGTATGGGTCCAACCATCAAAACAGGTTTTCATAAAAATTTATCCAAGTTGTGAATCCTGTCATGTGAATCCATCGCTCTCTGTCAGCTGATTTCTCTCACCATGTTGTTGTCGTGAGGTTGCGACCTTCAAAATAAAAGCGCATAAGTATTATTCTGTTTGAAATAAATAAACTGTTTCATAGTAGTTTCAGTTTTTTACAAAAAGAATTAAAGTCCTGTTCCATATGGACGCCTGTCCAAATTGAAGGCAGTGTCAATTAAGTGATTTTTAGCAAATAAAAGCCCGGGCTATTATTCAACGTTTTACGGTATAAATCAGATTTAACGGAAGCAAGCCAACTGATCTGCCACTTCACATCAAAATGCGCAAAACCCAACACAACAGTAGATCTACGGTATCAGCCTAATATCAGTTCACACACAGGATTATCGCTGTAGTAAGAGATGCACAGATTACATATTTCACTGGCTGTTTCCAGTTACTGATTTTTTTTTTTTTAAAAGGTCTGACCTGCCGATGCTAATTTTTCCGATTTTAGTTCTTTCTAAGATCTATTAATGACAGCATACACAAACATTGTTTTATTTATTGGAAAAATCTGTTTTTATTAGGATCCCCTTCAGCACCAGTATGAATGTGAGCTATTCTCACTGGTCTCAATTGTATGGTCATAATGAAACCTTGATTATAAAATAACATTTTCACTGGAAGGAAAATCACCAACAGCTGTGTCCCTGTGTCTTTACCTGCTCCATGCTTTATAACATCCACCGCGTCTCTTTCTGTGTTTCTCTGCAGATGTAGTGAGCGTTGCGTCTTCTTCGCTCTCGTGAATAACTTCCAAACACACAAGACATGTTTTAGCCTGTGTGCACACACGTGAAACACGGCGCCGTGGAGCGTGTTTTTAACATTCAATGTCACCGGCAGAAAATTCTATATTCAGTCCCCAGCGGATCAATCTGCGCATCTGTAGCTGTAGAAGATGAGTTCCAGTCCAACAAGCTGTTAAACAAGCTACCAAATAAGCTAGGTAATGTTTTTATAACAGAGTGGGCTCATAGAAAAATAATCATTTGACAACTTGACAACTTCACATGACAACTTTTTGTCATGATTAATTTATGAATGACTCAGCATCATCTGTATTAAAGACAAAAGAATCAGTTCATCCAATGTTTAAATTGCATAAAACAGCCCTGCAGCCTGCTTAACATTACTGGAGAAACTACTGAAGGATTTGAACTGGTTTTCTGCCACCAGACTCCTGTGAAGGGGAAAGCAGGCAGTGGCCCAAACCACTGTGAGGCAAGAGAGGGGTAACTCAAAATGTTACTAAACTTAAAAAGCACTATAATTGCCCTGTTTACATTTGTATTGTTGTACTATTTACACAATTGTTTTAAGTATATATCTTTTGTTACGGCTGTATGTATTTCCCTGTGCTGTGTCCATGTTTTCTGTCTTTCAGTTCTGTTCTGGGAGTGCTCCAGCTAATTACCGAATAAGGTCCACCTGGCCTTTGAAGGCGGGCTTTAAAAGCTGCTGTGCAAGTGTCAGGAGGGGACCCTTCTTGATTTGGTACTGCTAGCCTTGCTGCTTCCCAGCTGGGGCATTTTTGTGTTGTGTTTTTGGTGTTCTTAATTTATTGTCTAGTTATGTTAATAAATTCCCTTGATTTGGTTGTTTTAAAGGTGTTTATTTGTGTTGAGTTTGGGTCAGTGTTGGGATGTTGTTCGTCCCATGTTGCCACCAAAGGGTGGGACGTAACAAAATGGGGCTCATCCGGGATAGAACAACCATGAGGTGAGATAACGATGTGCATCTGATGGCCTTGAGTGTAGTGGTTGTCTCTTTGGTTAGAATATCTGTAAGTTGTGGCTACATGTTGTGCTTTTGACTGGGGTAACTCAGTAGCTTGGGAGTTTTTGCTGTTGAGCACTCTAACTAGGTAGCCACCGGGCAGGTTTAAAGAACTTGCCACTTTGTTTTTTTGCCTTTCTTATTTTGGTGGCAATTCTGAGTGGGGGCACGCTTCAGTGGATCGCAGATGGCTACATCTGTGGCCTTCAGTGATGCACTGAGTTCAGCGTTTAAAGTCGCCTCGAGCTCGGCAAGCCACTGAAGACTAGCTAGATTAGTTTAGCCATCTTGGTAGGTAGGTTGGGGTGTCTCTATGCAGCTTGTTTTACCTAGCACTATGCACAACAGTTTTAGCTATTTGTTTGAGATGACTGCTTTGTTTGGTCACTTTTCTTCCAGCTGTGAAATACTCTTGTTTGCAATAACTTGTGGATCGTGACCCATTGTTTAGTGGTAACTGTACTCCACATTTGGTAGGTCACTCGTCGGTTGCTTCTTGGGTGTAAGTTGGCAACATTTGTGTGTAGTTTACTACAATGTGACCATTTTGTGTTGTGGTTGTTGCAGTCCACCTTCTGGTGTGGTCACTTGTGTGTTATTGCGGTTGTGTATTTAGTTACAGAACATTAATTTTAGTTTTTTGTGCGCTTGGGATGTGCCAACACCAGACCTTTGGATTTAAAGTGGTGGGGGTACACTCCCAGTTCGTCAGGTTCGGTTGTGTTGCTGGTTTCCTAAATCCTCGAGTAACCAGTGTAGGTGGTTGATGACCACATGGTGCCCATATTGTGTTGCGACAGTTCACTTTTGTTGGGTCGTGGTGTATTGCTGTTTGTGTATGGCAGCTACCTTGTAGTTGGTCTACTTGTGTTGACCCTTTTGGTGTGTGGCTGTTGTGCTCCACTTTTGTGTGGGTCACCAGTGTTACAGGGGTGTAGGTAAATGCAGTAACTTGTGTCTGGTTTTGTGGTCTTTTCACCTCACGATAGTGGCCAATTTGTGGAAGTGGCACCTGCTGATTTGGCTACAAGTGTGGTTGCTGTTCTTAAATCCAGTGCCAACTTAGTTATCCCTTGCATGTGGGATTAGGTATGTTCCACATTTGACCCACGTTCACTTTTTTCTTTAGTAAGCTGCAGTAATACCAATTTGGTTGATCTTAATTGTCTAGAGTTTGCTGCATATGAGGCTTGAAGAGTTGCCATGTGGGTGCTCTCAGCAACATTGTATGTGCCTACTTGAGTGCAAACCTGGATTAGTGCACCTGTGAGGTGTTGTCTTATGGATTTATTTTTGTAAATTTACTTGGGTTTACCTAAACATACAGCCTTGGTAAGTCATACCTCAGTTTGGTCCAGTGCATTCCTAAGAATAACTTGTCAGTGAACGCTTGTGAGCTATATTTGGTCCATGTTGATGTTGTACATGTGATTGTGTGACAACAAAGTTATTCTTTGTTTTAAGGGTGGGGGTGTTACGGCTGTATGTATTTCCCTGTGCTGTGTCCATGTTTTCTGTCTTTCTGTTCTGGGAGTGCTCCAGCTAATTACCGAATAAGGTCCACCTGGCCTTTGAAGGCGGGCTTTAAAAGCTGCTGTGCAAGTGTCAGGAGGGGACCCTTCTTGATTTGGTACTGCTAGCCTTGCTGCTTCCCAGCTGGGGCATTTTGTGTTGTGTTTTTGGTGTTCTTAATTTATTGTCTAGTTATGTTAATAAATTCCCTTGATTTGGTTGTTTTAAAGGTGTTTATTTGTGTTGAGTTTGGGTCAGTGTTGGGATGTTGTTCGTCCCATGTTGCCACCAAAGGGTGGGACGTAACACTTTATATTATTTGATGGGTTTTTTTTGGTGGGGGGGCACCCCTCAGATAGGGAGATGTCCTGCCTTTTTTGGCACTAAAGGCTACAGATCATTTCTTCACAATCCAGAAACATGTCTGTTAACATTATAACATGTAGAAACATCTGGAGGTTCTGTTTAAAACAGTCAGATTACAGCAGCCTGATCATTCACCAGGCCACACAGCAGACTAGGCCAACCACTTTTTTTTTTTGCGGTGCGCCTTTTGTCTGTAAACCGGAGATGATTTCAGCCCTCAGCCTGATGATGTGAGCGTTTCATCTTCGGTCCCTTTACAAAGTGACACAGTAACATTTATCTCATAGAGCCCCAATTACAGCTGTCATCACAGGACTCTACTGTTAGAATAACATGCAGACTACATGTGCACTGTTATTAAAACATGAAACAGATCAGGTCTGAACGCTCTGGTTGAAATTACAGCCTAATAATTTGACTTCAGCAGCTGTTTTGTCACGATT